GTTCGCCGACAACAGGTCTGCTGTCCTGTTGTGTGAGGAGCCCCGACTGGTTGGGAAGGCGAAGCACATCCAGCTTCGTTACTTCCTTCTGCGTGAGTTGCAGCAGCGTGGACATGCACTCGTTCGACGTGTGGTCTCTGAGGCCAACACGGCAGATATCTTCACCAAGGCGTTGCCGCCTTGTGACCACCAGCGTTTCTGCACTCAGCTTGGCCTTGTGCCTGCCCGTCCTCACTTGCTTGCTTAGAGATGCCTTGTCCTGCATGTCTTGTACTCTTGCATCTCTTTATATTTGCTATATACCTGCATGTGGACTGGCCTTGTGGCCCCTTGCTTGCTCTCGGAGTGTGTGGTGACTTTGAGCTCCACCCTGAGATTTGTCTTGTTCTTGTAGACTGGTCTTGTGACCGTTGCTTGCTCTTGTTGTTTCTACAGGACTTCCGTCACCTAGACTATGGGGGTGTGTCAACATATATTTTATATGTGTTGTTTAGGTTAGTCTAGGTGTTACATTTCTACTTACTTGCATGATTAGGGTTTGCTATATCTAGGGTTGTACTTCACATTTTCTATCAATTCATTCTTATCATAACACGTAAGTGCAGGGACCTGCACTCCCAGACCTCCCACGCCCAGCGTACCACTCAGGAAGCTGCTGAACTGACGGGGTCTCACGGGAGCGCAGCTGCTGCTGGCGCTGGCTGCCACCAAAGCCTCCACGCTGCGCTGCTGCACCTCGCCCAGCACCACCGCAGCCGCCACCTCCACCACCGCTGCCGCTGCCTCCACCACCTCCGCCACCGCCGCCACGACCTTTACTGCCGCCACTGACGCCCCCACTCCCGGTACTACCCCCACCTACACCGCCACCTCCTCCACCGCCTCCACCTCCTCCACTGCTTCCCCCGCCGCCCCCTCCACCACCCTTGCTCCCCTTGCCCTTGCTGTTGCGGCGTCTCCCACTAGGGGCAGACGCAGCTCCGACCTCCTCAGTGCCAACGAGGTTGACAGCAGCAGCAGAAGCAACAGAGGGGAGAAGGGGAACAGGGGAACACCCCTCAAAGAAGGGGGTGCGACGGTCGCCGCGAGAAGCACCTACAGCTAAGATAATCTTCTCAGCTGCAGCAAGGCGCTCCTCTAGCAGGTCGATAGTCAGCTCGGTAGGGCAAAGGGAGAGAAACTGGTCCCTGACTGAAGAGAGGAAGTCAGGGAGGCGGGTGACTAGGTAGTAAAGGGTGATGTACATGGGGGGGGGGTTCTTGGCACAGAACTCAGTGGGAAGGGCAGCGCGGTAGCGGGCGTCACTAGTGCGAAGGTGAGCAACTAGGTCAGTAACTGTGGCAAAGGCGGCAAGGTCAGGGAAAAGGTACGGCATCATGAGGCGGCTGAGAGCAGCAGTGGCAGGGGAGGAGTAGCGTGCAACTACAGCGTCGTACAAAGACTGAGCAGTCTTGTACTAGCCAAAGTGTGCGCGCTCAGCAGGAGGCAGGTGACTACGAACAGCAAGATGAGCAACAGCGTCACGAGTGGTCCACTGCGAGCGAACAGTACTGTCAGCAGTGGCAGCAGGAGCAGTGGAAACACCGGACGTGTGATCGAAAAGGGATACCCCATCCCTAGAGTCACACTAAAGAAAAAGCTGTAGGTCGTCAACCCACACGTCAAAGTCAACTGCACGTCCCTCAGCGTCAAAGGTGAGAACTATAGGACTAGCCATAGCAGCAGTAGGAGCAGTAGCAAGAGTAGCAGTAGTAGCAGAGGCAGTAGGGCAGTGCACGGCAGGGCGGCTCGGTAGGGTGGCGCGGCTCAGTTAAGCGGCGCGGCTCGACTGGGCGGCGCGGCTCGGCTAGGCTGCGCAGCGCGGCTCAGCTGGGCGGCGCGGCGCGGCTCGGCTTACCAGAGACGGGTGCAGGGGTGGGCCGTAAATGCAGGGGCGCGCCTGCAGGGGCCGGCAGGGGCGTGTCAGCAAGGGGCCGGCAGGGGCGCGCCAGTAGGGGCGCTTCAGCAGGGGCCTGCTGATACGCGTCAGCAGGGGCCGGCAGGGGCTCGTCGGCAAGGGCCGGCAGGGGCACGCCAGTAGGAGCGCGTCAGCAGGGGCCGGCAGAGATGCGTCAGCAGGGGCCGGCAGGGGCGCGTCAGCAAGGGGCCGGCAGGGGCGCTCCAGAAGGGGGCCGGCAGGGGCGCGCCAGCAGGGACCGGCAGGGGCTCGTCAGCAGGGGCCGGTACGGGCGCGCCAGAAGGGGCCGGCAGTTGCTGAAGGGGCCGCGAAGGCCGCAATGGGAGGCCGTGAAGGGCCGCGAAGGGGCCGCAAGGGGCCGCGAAGGGGCCGCTAAGGGGCCGCAAGGGGCCGCGAAGGGGCCGAAAGGGGCCGCGAAGGGGCCGCAAGGGGCCGCGAAGGGCCGCGAAGGGCCTCAAAGGGGCCGCAAGGGGCCGCGAAGGGCCGTAAAGGGCCGCGAAGGGGCCGCGAAGGGCCAAGACGGGTCGCGAAGGGCCGCAAAGGGCCGCAAAGGGGGGGCGCGAAGGGCCGCAACGGGCCGCGAAGGGCCGCAAGGGGCCTCGAAGGGCCGCAAAGGGGGGCTGTGAGGGGCGCGACAAGACGGGCCCTAAGGGCGGGCCGCTAAGGGCAGGGTACACGGGGCGCGCCTTGGGCAGGTAAAAAAAAGATTCTTAGTGGTGGGCCCGAAAAAAAACGATTCCACTAGGGAACCTGCTCTATACCATGTGAGAATAATGAGAGGAAATGATTGAACTAGGAAACAGGTGGGGTACAAGTAGCAAACACAAAAGTGTTGTACCCTCTAAGGACTACCCCACTACAGCCTAAACAGACTATAGCATATATAAGTTTGACAGCTAACCCCCCTCAGGATGGATTCATCCACACCAATAATTCTACCCGCCAATAATTCTTACCCTCCAATAATTCTAGACTCCAATAATTCTGGCCCTCCAATAATTGTACCATTATTGGAGGGCTGGGAGTCTTATAAAGGAATACTACAGTAAAATCTAACAGCATATGTATTATCTTATGTTTGTATATTTAACACTCCCCCTTGCTGTAATTTTACTGAGTTTTGTCTTGGAGGATACCTGTAAACGGCGCTGTGCGGTAGAAATTTTGGTCACGGCGTTGATTGCGGAGAGGATTGGGTCGACTGTTGTGTTCTAGGATCACGTCAGCGATGATCGCGGCGACCTGACTTTGGTGTAGGGTTTCCGTTGGGACAGCGGCAGATGGGTTGGTCAAGATGTCGTGTAGCGAAATTCTGCACGATCCTCGTCAGGTGTGCACCGTCCATCCCTGTCACGCCCTTGTTTCAGGTTGTCGCCTAGCACAGCTGCCGTTTCTCCCACACCCCTCAATCCGCAGGGGTTCTCTCGAAGCTGGTCATTCTGTCTCAATTTCTCGCTCCTTGTTACTCCAAGCTCCTTCCAACTCCAGATCTGCTAGTGAGGTTTTCTCGAGCCATGGCGGCTGCTAGCGCGAAATGCTGTTCTAGTCCAGCGCGACCTGCATCATGTCTTAGCATTCATGTCGCGCGTCTGCTGCAAAGGTCGCGCGACTATTGCAAATGTCGCGCGACAGCTGTAAATGTCGCGCGACTACTGCAAATGTCGCGCGACTGCTGCAAATGTCGCGCGACCGGTTCTCCTGACGTGCAGCTGCACCAGAGACTCGGCGACAACCTCTAGCAGTGTCTAGCCCATGTGCGTTTTCGCAGTTGTGCGGCGACAGCAGTGCGTGACGGCCGCGGCTGATGCGTTTCTGGCGTGCTACCGCTTCACTGTGCGTGCCGCTGCTTCTCCTGGCACGCGGTCGCAGATCCGCAGCTGCATGTGCGTTGTGGCAGCAGCAACTGACAACGGCGGCGGCAGCTGAGGACGATGGCAGTCATGCTGCAGCAGCAGCGTGCACCCGCCACCAGTAGTTGCGGACGGCAGACGTACGGCAGCTGCAGCGACAGCTGCAGTGAATGGCGTATGGCAGCTGCTCCTGGCGCACGGCTGGCGGCGTATGGCTGCTGCATGACCGTAACTTCCCGCGGCTGCACCTAGCTGCGGACGCAACAGCTGCAGGATTGACGGTTGGTCTCCTGGCGCACGGCTTTCTCCTTCCTGCCGAGGTGAGAATGCTTAGCTGAACCTGTCAGTTTCATCCATGTTACCCTGTTACTCTGTGCTGCTCCTCATGACCCTGTGCTGCTCCTCGTGACCCTGTGCTGCTCCTCATGACCCTGTGCTGCTCCTCGTGACCCTGTGCTGCTCCTCATGACCCTGTGCTGCTCCTCGTGACCCTGTGCTGCTCCTCATGACCCTGTGCTGCTCCTCGTGACCCTGTGCTGCTCCTCATGACCCTGTGCTGCTCCTCGTGACCCTGTGCTGCTCCTCATGACCCTGTGCTGCTCCTCGTGACCCTGTGCTGCTCCTCATGACCCTGTGCTGCTCCTCGTGACCCTGTGCTGCTCCTCGTGACCCTGTGCTGCTCCTCATGACCCTGTGCTGCTCCTCGTGACCCTGTGCTGCTCCTCATGACCCTGTGCTGCTCCTCGTGACCCTGTGCTGCTCCTCATGACCCTGTGCTGCTCCTCGTGACCCTGTGCTGCTCCTCATGACCCTGTGCTGCTCCTCGTGACCCTGTGCTGCTCCTCATGACCCTGTGCTGCTCCTCGTGACCCTGTGCTGCTCCTCGTGACCCTGTGCTGCTCCTCATGACCCTGTGCTGCTCCTCGTGACCCTGTGCTGCTCCTCATGACCCTGTGCTGCTCCTCGTGACCCTGTGCTGCTCCTCATGACCCTGTGCTGCTCCTCGTGACCCTGTGCTGCTCCTCATGACCCTGTGCTGCTCCTCGTGACCCTGTGCTGCTCCTCATGACCCTGTGCTGCTCCTCATGACCCTGTGCTGCTCCTCATGACCCTGTGCTGCTCCTCATGACCCTGTGCTGCTCCTCATGACCCTGTGCTGCTCCATGTACCCTGTCCTGCGCCCCCTATACTAGGTGACGCCCGGAGGCAGCTGCAACTGGTACGCAAGCACCTGGCGGCTGCTTCTACTCCTGGCAGCTGCTTCTACTCCTGGCGGCTGCTTCTGCACCTGGCGACTGCTTCAGCAAATGTCTGCCAGCAGCACCACCTGGTCGCCTGCAGCAGTTCCCCCTGACGCCCTGCAGTACTTGAAGGCCTGCAGCACCGGGCTTGCAGCAGCTCCCCCTGATGCCCTGGCCGCTTGCACCCGGTGCAGCACCAGCAGCGAGTGGCAGCAGTATCAGCAGCACCTGCATCACCTTGGTGAGCAGCATCAGCAGCTCCTGTCTCCAGCTGTCTCCCCCTGCCTCACATAGGCATCATGTTTTGGACCATTGTCTTGACTCATGCTGTCATGTTTCTTATCCCCCTGAAACCAGCAGGCATTTGAAGAATTCAGGAACGGCTGCTGGAGTTGGCGAGTGATTGTGACCGAGCAGCAGCAGCGACTGTCCAACAGAATATGTTATGGCTGCTCTTGTCACTAATTGCAGTAGGTCTCTTCATGATGCATGTGTTGACTCTTGTGATGACGAAAATGAAGGATGGTCTTGAAATCAAATCCCGAGTTGTTGTACCCCAAGATGCTCCGCACCCCACTTCCTCTCTCACTCGTGTGTTTGTAGTTATGCACATGTGTGAGCATACACACAGCACCAAACACATGAGTGAGATGTGTGGAGCTACGGGATGCCTTGGTGTCCATCGCCCCTTAAGAAGCCCGAACATGTAAGTGCAGCTCCAGCGCCGTCAATCTGCCGACTTGTTGCAGGCGGTGGTCCAGACGGAATTGGTTGGAGACCGCACAAGAGGCTGCAGTTGAGATGTTGCTTTGCTGTGATGAGCTTGGTGAGGTAATCAGCTGCTTGCTGTGCTTTCGGGCAGTACTCCGGCCACACAACACCGTCGCGAACTGCCTTCCGCGTCCAATGGTAACGGACTTCCATGTGTTTTGTGCGTTGACTCATCTGCTCCCCTGTTGCAAGCGCAATTGCGCTCTGGTTGTCCACAAAAAGGACAGTGGGTTCTTGCTGTGGGAAACCGAGGTCGTCACACAAGCGTCGAAGGTATGTTGCTTCCCTTGCCCCTTCGAACATTGCAATGTATTCCGCTTCAGCTGTGGACGTGGCAATGACTGTTTGGCGCTTAGTCCTCCAACTGACAGCAGCTCCTCCCAAGGTAAACACGTAGCCTCCAACCGAGTGACATCCCACTTCGTTCGCATAGTCCGAATCCGTGTATCCTCGGAGCACCAAGTCCCCTCCTCCATAGACCAGCCCCACGTCCGCAGTGTTCTGTAAGTATTTGAACACCCTTTGGATTCCAAGCACTGTTGCTGCTGTTGGCTTGCTTGCTTGTCTGGCCAGCACATGCGTTGCATATGTTATATCCGGTCTCCCTGCTGTTGAGATGTATAGTAATGTCCCCACTTGTTTCAGCACCAATTGACTGTCAATCTCGTCTGGTGGTTCTCCTTGTGGTCCAGGTTCCTTGGTGATCGGCGTCCTGATTCCGGAGCGACTGCCTTCCATCTCGAAGGTCGCCAAAGCCTGTGAGATGTACTTTGTGAGTCCGAGCGAGATTGAGTCATTGTCAGCAGTGACGTTGAGCCCCAAAAACTGCGTCATGGTCTTGCTGATGGTCAAGGTAAAGTTCTGCTTCAGGTGCTGAATCACAGCTTCAATGCCTTCGTCGTCATGAGACTGGATGAGGATGTCGTCAACGTAGGTGAGTAGCCACACCGTGTCCTTTCCTTCTCGTTTCCAGATAAATAAGGACGGGTCAGATTCGGATTGCACCATGTCCAGCTCCAACAAGACACCCCGTAAGTGCTGATGCCACAAACATGGTGCTTGTTTCAGTCCATACACACTTCTTTTGAGTTTCCAGACTTTGTCTCCGTCCCGCCTTGGTTCTGGTGGTCGTACGTATATATCCCGGTCGATTGGAGCGTACAGGAATGCGTTGGAGATGTCCAGTTGCACCACCTTCCGCTTTGTAGTAGATGCACCAGCAACGAACATGCGAGAGGTAGGTCCTTGGCTGACTGGTGCATACGTCCCATCGTATGTTCCCCATGTCTGTCCGCATCCCTTGACCACCCAGCGCACTTTAAACCAGTTTGGCTGTCCGTGCTCATATCGTTTCACCCTGAGAATGACTCCTTCCATCAGCACCGTCGTTCCTTTTGGTACGTCCGCTCTGTCCACCACTTCGTATGCTTCCAGCTCATCGAATTTAGCCAATTTTGCATCCACCGCGGCTTGCCAAAGAGGTGCGTACGGGTCTGTTGTCATGTCCTTGAGCGTTTTGGGCTCCTTGTACGTCAAGTCCACCATGGGGATGCCGGTTGCTGCACATCCTAGCACGTGTTGTTGCACGTTGAACGCTTGTGTTGCCCGTTGTTTCCCAAACAGCACGTCCAGTCCTATCATGCCGTCTGTCCCTTGTTCTTCTCTTCCAAGCACAGTCACCGTTGGGTTGAAATGAACCCGTCGTGGAGTTGCGTCATGAGCTGCCAGCTCGATTCCATCAGGTGGGTACGCAAAGTCATAGAGATGACTTGCCTCATTCTCCATGTTGTTGCTTTCAGCAACTTCAGGAACAGAGACGCCTGCTGGAGGTAAGTCACTTGCTGTAGCCCCTTCTCCTGTTTCGGTTGCATCGTCAATGGGTGAGTCCTCTTGAGTTGCGTCAACTTCCTGTCCTCGTGCGGTTGTGGGCGATGCAGGCGATGGTGGGGATGCGGGAAAGGAGTCAAACCTGGAGCCAAAGCCTTCTCCGCCTGAAGTCCAGCCGTCTATGTGCGGTGAGACTTCTTCCAAGTAGCGTTGGCGTTCGAGTACTGATTCAGCGTCTGGTAACATGAGGTCATCAAAAAAGCGAGCGGAGCGTGTGTCAGTGCCAACGTCGCTTGCCAAGTCTTGCACGATCCATGCCTTTCGTGAGTTAGAGAGGCCGAGAAACATGCCTGTCCGACCTCTCTGCTCAAATTTCCCGAAGCTGCCTTGGGGAGGGAGATAGTAGCATAGGCAGCCAAAGGTCCTTGCCATCGAGACATTTGCCGCCTTTCCCGTCATCATGAAGTACGGTGAGTGTGCCGATGGGTTGCTGCTGCAGCTGATGCGGTTGTGTAGCCATGCTGGCCAAAACTTAGAGGAAAGGCTGGCCCCAGTAGTCATTGCGCGCACTCGGTCCATGAGTGTACGGTTAACCCGTTCGGCGACTCCATTCTGCTGTGGCGTGTGTGGTAAGGACGTTTGGTGATTGATGCCGTGAGAGCTCAGGTAATCCGTGAAAGCATTCGCGGTATACTCCCCCCCATTGTCCGTGCGCAAGGCAGCCAGTGGCTTCGTGGGCAATTTGGTCTTCATCTCGCGATGCCATGCCGAGAAAACAGTTGCCATGTCGGACCGGCGAGCCAACGGCGCCACCCACAGGTAGTTGGTGTAGTCATCCTTGAGCGTCAGCACGTAGCGAAGTGAAGGGTGAGCGTCACTCAAGTCCATGATATCGCTATGCACGAGCTCCAAAGGTCGAGTTGTGCGCTTGTCTCTCCACCTGTGGGAAATGGGGCTTTGCTCATCTTCCCTCGAAGACATGATTCACACGGGGGTTTGAGGGGACTTGTCTTGTCGGATATGGAGAGTCCTTCAACATCTCCATTGCGAAATGTTGCGTCCATGGATGTGTATGATGGGTGACCCAAGCGTTTGTGGGCCATGCGGTATGTGATCGATGCATGAGCAAACTGCACATTCAGCCCTCCAAGACCAGGTTCATTCGATGCTTCATTCGGATGATCATGACCAGATTCATGGGTGGATGTAAGTGCAGGCTCATATTGCATCATGAGCACACCATGCATGATCATCCCAATCCCAATGACCACATGCTCATCTCCAGCTGCCATAGTGATCTCAGTGTTGCCATCATCACGTGTGCGAATCCGAGCTCCCTTCTTGTGTAGTTGGCAATAAGAGAGCAAGTTGGACTTCAATCCGGGGACATAGAGCACGTCGGTGAAGCGTACGGTTGTTCCATCAGGTGCCGTTGCTCGAATTGTTCCCGCCATCGAGCTCAATAGGTGGCTCCCGTCAGCAAGCTCCACGTACACAGGTTCGTTCAGCTCCTCTACACCCTCAAACCAATCCTTTTCTGAAGTCATGTGTTGGCTGCATCCGCTGTCCAGCAACCACATCGACCCTCCGGCTGATGGTAACGTTGCTTGTGACGATCGAACTGTTGCAACGCATGTAACGGTTCGTTTGTTGTCTCTCCCGGCTGCCCCTTGCTGTTTTGTCGCTTGGTTGTCACGTTTCGGACTTTCACTCCTTCGAGGCGAGGACGAATGACTACTCCAGGTGCGCTGGTTTGTTCTCCCTCTGTTTTGTGGTTCCCAACCTGGTGGTGACCAACCCGGAGGCGCCTTGGGACACTTGTAGAACGGGTGGCCGGATTCCTTGCAGTACGAACACACAAGGTTAGACCGCCCTCCTTTTCCTTCGTTGCCTTTGAATTTGTCCCCAACCGGCGCATGCTGCCCTCCCGTTGACCTTGTCGCATTCTGGTTGACCTTTGTCTCGGTCCTCTCCTTTGCTGGTGAAGTATCTCCACGAGCTTGATCAGCCATGCGAGGAGGACGTTTGTCACGGTTGGTCTTGCTAATGAGGTCTTGGTAACGTTGTTCCTGAATCATCATTCGCTGTAGTGTGTAGCTGTCCGAGATGTCGTGTAGCATTGCTGAATGCCTTAGCTCCTCCCAATGCGGCGGCAGCCCCGTAATCAGATTCAAGGTGAATGAATCTTCATCCACCATTTTTCCCGCCATTGCCAACTTGTCACGAATTGCAGTTGCTCGGTTGATGTATTCTTCCACTCTTTCTTGACTCCCCATCTTCAGGTTGTCTAATTGCCTTTGGAGAGATGCCTTTGCCACCGAATCCTTTGCCTGGTAAGTCTCCATCAGGTACTGTATGACTCTTGGAACACGTCCAGTTGCAGCTGAATCGTTGCGCTCACGCTATGTAGTAGTACCCAAAAGGCCAGCGTAGCCCATTGTGAGTAATCTGCTTGCAGAACTTCCAGCGGTTCCATTGCATCTCGCATGTCTCCATTCGCCATTGTAAGCGGGTATTGTAGTGTCACGAAAAACTCCCACAGATTTGTCACGCGCGCGTTCATGCGAAACCGAAGAGCCCACTCTCGGAAGTTAGTCCCGTCGAACAGGGTTGTTGTGAACGCTTTGTCCACTGCTGCTCCCA